TCTCGAAAAAGAGGAATGTTTGGTTTCTAGTTGAGAGATTATGATTGTGAAATAGTGGAATTCATGCATATCACATTTGAAAATGTAACGCAACTAAGTGTTTATTTAGAGAGAACATAAAAAGGTTTGTGAACGTGATTCGCATTAGGACACTTTTTTTTTAACGAAGGAACTGCACTGCCTCGCCACAGCAGATAGATTGGACCAAACATCGATTGGTAAAATTATCTGCCTTCCTCTTAGCGTGATCTCCAGTGAAATAAAAGTCTCCCTGTGCGAGATTCTGACCTCGAAGGTTGTGTTTGTTCCTTTGCATACCGAATTCAAATTGAGCGTGGGAGAGAATCTTGAGGCCCGTTTGCTCGTGTTTTTCTTAAATGGCTAGTAAAGCATCCGTGGGTAGTAACGCATCTATTGCTCTTCAAGCTGCTTTTGACGACAGTTCTCGTCTGAGTCATGTGTTAGAGGAGATGAAAGCCGACATAAGAAAAACCACTTTGGAAACGAAAATCAACAATGGCGACGACCTTGCGACTCCTCTCATCATCGCTGCTCGTGATGGAAAACTGGATTCTGTGAAAGTCCTTTTACGTTACGAAGGAAACATCGAGGCTCGTGGATCGATTAAAGTTGAAGGAAAGGTTTTGGAGGGTTGCACAGCTTTGTGGATCGCTGCTGCAAAAGGTCATCTTGAGGTTGTGAGAATCTTGATCGAACAAAACGCCGACGTCGACGGCAGAACATCGACAAATGCGACTCCTTTGAGAGCTGCTGCCTTTTATGGACGCCTTGATATCGTGCGCTGTTTGGTTGAGAACGGAGCCGATGTAAATGCACGCAATCATGTCAATAGTACTCCTCTGATGATAACATGTTACAATGGTCACATAGATGTTGTTTCCTTTCTTGTCGAAAGTGGCGCAAATATACATCAAGAAGACACTAATGGAGAAACATGTCTTCATTATGCTGCGGAACGGGGACACCTTCAGATAGTTGCTAAGCTGCTAGCTTTGGGAGCGAAAGAAAAACACAATCTTAACGGTCTAACACCACTTCTTGTAGGCAGTAATCATTGTAAAACTGAAATGGTGGAGTATTTTATCAGCCGACCAGAATGTACAAAGGAACAGAGAATTGATGCTCTTGAACTTCTCGGTGCCACCTTCGCTAATGATAAGAATGCTTATGACACTGGGAAAGCAATTAGTTTCATGAAGCG